CTATTTCTTCCTCTCATGAGAGCTATGCATTCATTCATGTAGGCGTTTATTTGTCATCAGTATTTCTTGAAAGGGATGGGTGTGTAGGATTCTACTGTAATTTATTAATAATTTTAAATAATTCCAGCAGTACTGCCTCTTTTAGGGTCACCTGTTTCTTTCTTGCTTTTTTACATTTTTACACATTTAGCAATGAAACAGCGGGGAAGATGCTTGAGATACCACCACTGGAACTCCTCTCATTGCTCTACCAACCCTGGCCATAGATGATTCAAAGAAGGAGGTCTGAACAGTCGGGCTGAGGCCAGGGTGCTGCCCTCCAGCACTAAGAATCTACAAACACCCTTACCATTGTGAGCAGGTAGTTGCCTCCACCCCGCTGTTCTGCTGCAGATAGTGGCAGCTAGTGTCAGGAAGATGCAGCAATCCGCCGTGCTGCTGGCCTCCCAGGGGGAGGGCAGGACCAGTGCATTTCTTAAAGCCAGTGACCACACAGGCAGGTTCATCTGGGATGGACCAGGTCTACACCTGTTGTCCAGGCATCATTATTAAGTGCCTACTTTCACTTTTGAAAGTGTCAACCGTTGGATAATGAATTGCATACTCAGCTTACTTAATGTCCCCTTGTAGCTCTGTCATCTATTATGTGACCTAACATTTACATTTTTAACCTATACCAGCAGTATGAGGCAGTGAGTTCAGGAAGATTATTCTCCTTTGTGTAAAGTAATATTTACCTTTATCTGTCCTGAAATTATTCTTCAAGCGTTATGGGATTGGTCCCAGCTCTAATGCTGAGGCTCAGTGAACAAGCTCATTTGCATGCTTTTACAGATTTTAGTTTTGTCCACACCAGGCCTTTGTCCATCCAGATGGATGGCCCTAGTCTTAGAGCCTATTCGCAGAGACCTCCACCCTGATCATTAGCTTTCCTTGTTAATCAGGCTGCAGTGGTGTTTGGAGGCAACTTGTCTGGCTGTCTGAAAAGTGATGCACAGTGGTTTGTCCTTTCAGGCACTGATGAAAGGCCATCTGGTAGGGGAAGGGCTTTCCAGCTGTATTACAATTTTTTTGAATTAAATGTTTTTTCTTTTCCTTTTTTTTTTTTTTTTTTTAACCACATAGACAATGAAAGGACCTGCCTAGCAGGTGGCTCACAGTGAACCCTCTGTTTATGCTTGCAGAAAAAAGAAAGACAGAAAAATAAACAAAAGAAAAAGAGAAGAAATCAAGGAAAAAAGGAAGAAAATAAGGAAAAAAGAAAGATCAGTGTATATACTAAGAAGGAATATTATAAATTCAAAACACTATTTGCAGGAGAAAACAAAACTTTGCTTTGTTATTTCGTACCTTGGGCCTGAATTCGAAGGGCCGAATATTGTAAGCGATTGTAAAAAATTCCCTAGAAGGGTGCATTTAAGTGGACATGGTGATTTCTTCCTTTCCAAGATGCAGGAATTTTACAGAAAAACAAAGTACTCAAGAGTAATGGAAGAAGAAAGGAACATTTTGTAATAGAATTCTTACCCTTGTAGTTTATATTTATGGTTTAGAAGCTTGATTCCTTTAAAACAAGATGTATGAGTGTCTTCCATGTGCAAGGTATTTTGCTGGGCACTGAAAATATATAAACTGGATCTAATTTCAGCTCCTGTTATTTTAGACATTACGATTTGTTTTCTTGTGGAACATCAAGACAATAAATTACAGCCTTCCTGCTGAATTTTACTTGTTTCTATTTTTCTCTCATGCTAATAGTCATGAGAATCACTCAAGTGCTTCCTTATCTTACTATTGCAAGGACTTTCAAGTTCTTTAGAAAACCCAGTTCTTTCTCTTAAGAAAACAAATCTTAATTCATTGGGGAAACATGACATACATTTATTGTATATACGATCTGAGCCCCCATCAATTGGAATTGCTGGACATTTGGACAGAGGCTAGGCTGAAGTTCAACTTTATTTCGTCTTTGATCAAAGAGCTTACTAAATGGAAGTAAACAATACTTTAGAGAAAGATTTACATTTTTTCAAGGAAAAAAACTTATTTAAACTGAGTGTCACATTTCTCAAGCAAATTATTTATGTTAAGTACATGCTATTCCAACTATTTATAAAAGCAGCTCATGATGGATCTCAACCTGAGAGCACTTTATAAAGCACTTAGTGTGCTACAATTCCTTTTTTCCTGAAAAATGAATGTTTTCTTTAAATATTCATCTTAATATATAACTCAGACACACAGTCTTCTTGGCTTATTTAATTTTTGAGGTCTGATTGCAAAAATTGACAAGAACATGTAAATGTATTTACAATCTAGGTACTTATGGGGTTGCAAAGTGACAGCAGTTAGTGGAGGAGGGATGATTATAAGCTGCTGTGTAAGTTCTGAGCAGAAATATGAGCAATCTCTGCTTCATAAACATTGCACTGGAAGAATGCTCATCCGTTAAGTCTGTTGTGTGCCAAGGCCAGGATACACAGAACTTTCTTCTTTATGAGGAACCGTTTCTTGGGGGTAAATTTATATTGTCTTCCATGTGTTTTAACTGTGGGCTTGAAGCCCCAGAGAGTTCTTATGTACCCAGGTAAATAATTAACTTTGCAAACTATGAACATGTTTAATTTGGCTTTTGAAACGATAGTGCTGAGACCAATTGTGCCCTTCCTAATTTGGAAATATTTTCTTTCTGGTTTTTATTTTGACATGTACCCAGCCATCTACTTTTGTTGCTATTTCTAGCATCCCAAGGGAGCTGCTTCCATGGTTGTCATAGTGCAGACAAACACAAAAGAAAACCAAGAATTCGGTGCTTTCATAAAGCATTTATTTTTATTTGAAAACATTATACAGGCATTACATTGCCACAGCCAGTCCATAGGGGAGCATGCAAATATCAAAAATGGACAGTTTGTTGAACTTATCGGTGTAAATTTTTTTTGGTTCATATTTTCCATCTGCAGTGTTGTCAGAATTAGTGTGCTTTGTTATGTGGCTTAACAATAGAATCCTACCCATGGGGTAAAATCTGTACTGGTAGCTAGCTGGGGACTACTAAATAGTTATAAATCAAAAAGAAACCCAAAACAAACAATACTACACGCTTGTCAAAAGGTTAATAGCACAAGTTAGCAATATCTAAACTAAACATTGAAACAATTTCATGGGACATGGTGGTGCAAATTTTTCCATTGCTTGGTCACCTGGTCATGTATTTGAGAGTCTGTAGATGTGGGAAGGTCTGACCAAGGCAAGCGCTGTCCCCAGTGCAAGTTTTCGTTGAGGAAGTGAGAACCACCACTTAATCTCTAGCAGGGTTTAGGAGAATTGTAGTTTGCTTTTACCCGATCAAATTCTGCACAAATTGCTAAAGTCTTATTCATTGAGGAGAGATTGATTGTGGACTGAAAAACTGAAATTTTTGCTGGTGTCTACTGAGGTTATGAAATCTCAGAAACTAAAACAGCTAAAGTTAATGTTGTCCTACTCCCATTTCCCACCCCATTCCCAAAGGATCAATGTTTTTTACACAGAAAAAGAATTTGTTCTTTGTAATTTTTTTTTTTTTTTCTGAAGGGTCAGTCTGGAACTCCTGATCTTGAACAATTCAATATATTATCAACCTTTCTAAATGGAGACAAACCAACACATTGAGGTCACCCAGGGACATGAAAGTCTCAGTACAAGGACACTGAATGATAAAGGGTATACAGCGAATTCATTTTAACATTCACACTTGGTTTCCATACAATGGAGTCAATTAAAATATCCTATAAAATAATTCAGATGGCAACCTTTAGCCATCTGTTGATTGCAAACTTTTTGGAAATTTATATTTTTAAAAAACTTCAGTCTACTGAGTGGACTTGGAAATAATTTCATCCGCTTGCTTCTCATAAGACTTTACTAAGTGTCTACAAATCAATGTCATAAAAATGAATCAAAGACGAAAACATCTGGCTTAAAATAAATACTAAAAATGCAATAAATCAAGCAAATTATTCAAACCAAAGGAATGTAAACACAAAGATAAAACCACAGTCTTGAAAGGTCTTCGGAGCTGAATGGACAAAATATTCAGAGAAAGGTATTTAATTGGGTGAAAGGTAGCAGAGCGATGATGTTGGCACAGTTGTTTTGATGTGCTAGAGCTTTAACGCTGATACTTTCCCCACGGAAAATAAAACATGTTTCCTAGGGGGCTGAACTGAGATGACCATTACATCTGAATATCAGAGAAGAGAATTTTTCTTCTCCATCTCCAAGGGTAAGTCCACTCACCCAGTGTAGAAGGCAGGCAAAAAGGCAATGTGGGTGCTGACAGACAGTGTGGGATGCTTTCGCCTGCCAGATTTAGGCCTTGTACAGGCACTCTGGGATCAGTCCTTCTACTGTAGTCTGTCCTTTTACTTTCCAGAGACCCCACTGGTGTTTTGCTTTGCTTGCTTGTGTAACATACATTGATTTAAATTGCCCAATGTCTCATAAACATGTATTTTTCCCCTAAAAACCCTGTAACTCCATTGAGGATCTTTTTGAACGGTATTGAAGTCAGCCAAACTAAAAGAGTACGTTACATACTGACACATAGAATCTTTTCTAAATACTAGAGGTCTGTGGTGTTTCTTAATTTCCTGTGTTTGAAAAAAGGGCTATTTTAAGGGCAACAGATTAGACTAGTGACATATCATTCATAGTCTTATCAGGATCCTGCAGTATTCTCTGTGTCCACAAGAATGTTGTGTCAATATACCTGTTATGGAATGGATGCCAAATATGACCAAAATGCCAGACTTTTTCAATGATGACTTCGTTACCACTGCAAAGTGGCCAGATCAATTAAGCCATTTTCAAAGACTGCTCCACATCAGCACCTTGACTTTGTTAGGAGGTGGCACAACCAATGATTTTCCACAATAAAGGTAATTTCCATGCTGGTGTATTTTTAAAAAGGTGTCACAGAATTAAAAGGGCAGAGAACCATGGCTTTTTCCAGTGCCTTGATTAATTTCCATATTATCACTAAGGAAATCTAGAAAAAAAAGAAAAGATAGTTTTTGAAGAGAGGCTACAGGGAGGGGCAGAAAGATTTTATAATTATATATTGCCCTAAACACAAATGATATTATTTCTGGGGGCTCCCAAAAGCCACAGAAATGGAACAGTCCTTATCTTGTTATTACAGGGACTTGATTAGCAGAATCATGTGGCACAACAGAAAGGCAATGGCCTGGAGTAATCAGAGATCAAAATATAAAAAGGCTAAAATGTTTCTTTTATATCTATTCCTAGAATAGAGAATTATATGGTCAGTTGCCCCTCCCTACAAAGGTCACAGCACAAAATACTTATTGAGCAGGCAATCCAACAGGTAACAGAGGAAACCATGAGCCACCAGGTCCCTAGGATAAGGAAACTTCTCAGGGGTGGAGCTCCTGTGGCATGCATCACTCATATAGTCTGTGCAAAAAAATAAAGTATGACTCGTAAAAAGTGAATTGCCATAGAAAAGTGGGGTTTATGTTGACTACATGTGGGTCTGGCAATAGTTTCCATCAGGAGTACAAAACATCCTCCTGAAAGTTGGTGTGATAACAGTAACAATAATAATAATACAAATCATAATAACAATAATACTTGCTTTTGATTCAAAGGTTTTCACGGTAATGAATGCAGGGGAGTTGTGATCAGGATACACACTAGCTAGGCATCTTTCCGAGTCAGGTGGATTAGAGCCTGTGTCTCCAGTGATGTTGAGCTTGCTCCTTTCACAAGCTTTCAGAGGATTTGCTACCTTGCAGTCCACCTGTGTAAACTGCACCTAGTAAATACCTTTCTCTATGTACAATACAGAGATGATGGGCAAAAACATGGCCAATGAGTTGGCCTCAGTGGGCAGGGCGGGCCTCACCCTAGGCCACACGAACATGAGGCTCCTCTTCGGTCTCCTGGCCCAGGCTGGTGTAGGTGACTGAGGGTTCCACCTGAGCTGTGGTCGGTAAGTCCACAACAGGTCCTGAAGGATTGCGGAACTGCTTATACACTCGGGGGTCCTGGGCTATGTAGGTGGAGGTGGAGGAGTAGAGCACCAGCCCAATGAGGATGGTGAAGAAAGACAGGAGATAAAGTCCTGAAAACTAAAAAAACACAACAGTAAAGTCATTTGACAGCCAGGGCAGAACCACTGACACATTAACGAGGCACAGAGAGATGTGAGCAGAGCTGCTTCCTCTCAGAACAGGCAGCGTGATGAGTTGGCCAATACCCTTGATGGAGAATGAATTTTCTCATCCTAAACTGGCTTGGTCCCATTGATTCCCCTTATCTTTCCTAGACCCTGTGGCTAACACAGAGGAACACTTCGCTAATGGTCTCTAAAGTGCCAATCTGAGGATCTGGTATGGTGCGAGAACTAGTTAAGCATAACTTAAAATGCATCAAGTTAAAAGCAAAAAATCTCCAATATCACTCAATAAAAAGTTGGTTGTTTGTGGCTTCATTAAACTTAGAGAAATACAGATATCCCCTTTAGGGTTGTAATGAAGCCATAAACAATGAATGGCTCACTGACAGCTGCATCAGGGCACTCTCGTTACACCTTAATCCAATTCAGACACTATTTGTCTTCCTAGTAGGAATTGTTATTGACTTTGGTAAATACCTTTGCAAGATTAGATTATCCTCGGACAGAAAGAAATAGTATAACATTCCATTCCTGACCCACTGACCTATAAACAAAACCAAACAGGGCTGTATATACAACATTCTGCTTCCTAATCTACTTGCTTGACAATTCAGAGAGTTTGGGGGGAGAGGGAGAGAAAATACTGGTTTATACAAGTCGCAAGAATTTACGTATGTTTGTGGAAACTTATGACTTCTGGACCTTCTTGAGTAGTTACACTGGAAGTAGTTACTTCAGTAGTTACTGGGGAAGGAGTATGGTAACAATGTGAGTATTGCCATTTCTTGTGTTTCATTCATTCATTCATTCATTCATTCATTCACTCCTTCATTAAATGAATAGTTTCTTATATGCCTTCTCTATATCAGACACTGAACTATGTACTGGGGAAAGAGAAATGAAAAATATGTTGATCCCTACCATTTAGGACTTCATTGTCTCAGTGGCCAAACAGGTACAGATAGACAAAAACAACACAATGCACTTACAGCATGCCAAATCTCATTTCAGTCTTTAGCTAATAACCCAGTCTTGACCACATCCTGTGTCCATGGGGAAAAAGGCATCAATTTTATTGTCCTTTTTAATGCTAATACTGAAAGAACTAAAAACTGCTAAAAAGACAAAAATTAATTGGAAGTTGGAAGAAAGGAAGACAGGAAAATGGCCCAGAGATCCTATGAAGTAAGTTACAAGGCTATAATAAAAAGCTAAAAGATGGCTCTAACTGTAGTTCAATAATAGGAAAGGGAGTCTTGAAAATGGCTCATAAAAAAAGGTATCCCTGCAACTAAACGCCCCTGCTGCAGTGTTGCTTTCTTTCTTCCTTTTTGCAGCAGCAAGGCAGCTAAGACTAAAGATGCTTTTCTGATTTGCTTTCTAGAGCACTCCACACCCTGTCCCTCAATTCCTTTATTTTTCACATTGAAACCACATGATAACCCTACTTCAGATGGATTTATGTACTAGACTCAGCTTGTAACAGCTTCATTTAATGAACTTGACATAATTCACTTTTCCCAATGAAAATAAATGTGCCTTATTCTTTGATTCATAAATTTGTAAAATAAAATGGTAGAGAAAGAAGACCACTAACGGTACAGTCATGTATGATCTCAGAAAACCTATTTACACTCAAACTTGCTTCCTGAAATTCTATATCCAGGAGCTTCACCCTTTACCTGAAACTTCGGTGAATGAAATAGGTCTGTTCCTAACATTACCATCACTTCAAATATTTTATTAATTACTTTCACTTTCAAAACTCTACCCATACGTCTCTAGTTTCAAGCAAAGGGTCTTAGGTGTGAACCTGCCTCTACTGCAGCATATGGAGGTAGAGAGACGACGAATGAGCACTTTATAGTTATCCCTGCATTCTAACCACCAAGCTGGCTTCAGATCTCAGCTCTACCACCTTCTAGCTTCACTTCTGGACACATTTCTTAACCTTTCCAGGTCCAAGCTTCCTTAGCAGTAAAGCACACCTATTATAGGGTGGTTAAAAGATTAGATTCGATAAGGCATGTAGAACACTTATCCCAGTTTCTATCTTGCTGCAAACATTCAATTCACATTAGCTTCATTCTTATTTTTTTTTTGTTATTACTATAGCACTTATTTTATCATAGTAATACTGATATATCTTATAATAATCTGATATAATCATTGATTAAATTGTCTTTTTTTTCTTTTTTCTTAAGACAGGGTTTCACCTCTGTCACCCAGGCTGGATGCAGTGGCACAATCATGGTTTACTGCAGCATCAACCTTCTGGGGTCATGTGATCCTCCCACCTCAGCTTCCCGAGTAGCTGGGACTACAGGCACCTGCCACCATGCCTGGCTAATTTTTGTATTTTTTGTAGAGACAAGGGCTTTGCCATGTTGCTCAGACTGGTCTCAAATTCTTGGGCTCGAGCTGTCTGCCTGCCTTGGCCTCCCAAAGTGTTAGGATTACAGGCGTGAGCCACCGCGCCTGGCCTAAATTGTCTTTTTTCAGTAGTCTCTGGATTACGAGGTTGTGTCTTGTTTGACCAATGCCAAGTGCAGAGCTTGGCACCATGTAGATATCTACTAAATATTATCTGCTATTTCTTTTTTTATCTTGAATGAATAATGGGGAAGTTTCAGACTAAAGAAAGAAACATAATAAAAAAATCAGCCTGTACCAGTGGAGTAGTTCAAACATTTTAGCTTTAAACCAGATAATGCAATGCCTTTCTAGTACATAAAATGCTCAACAAAAACCCGTTAAGAAGGAAGTCCTAGTATGAATCTACAATCATTGACTCCAAAAATCATCTTCAAACCTGGGGTCAGTCAGAGGAGTGTGACAGGACGATGAATTGGAAGAGACAATGAAGAAAGCCAGAGTCTGGAGAGAAGACTCAGGGCTGCTGGTCAGTGGACTGGCATAGAGATGTCATAAACTTGGGGTGGGCAGGATTTGGCAATTGAAATAATGTAGTGGCAGAGACAGGAAAGGATTGAATACAGAGTATCCAGGTAGAAGGATTGAATTCCTCTCCATTTATGATTTTAGACTTGATCAATATGACAAAGAATATACTGTTAAATTTTGTAAAGCTAATGCCCTCACCATTGTAAGAAATGATACTTTAATGTACTGCTTAAAGGATCATCGCTTTTTTGGACATGGAACCATCAGGATGAGTGAGAAATTCATTACAGAATTGTTTTCTTGGGACACAGCTTTAGCATAATAACACATAGTTTATTTTTAATGCACTTCTATTTAATTCATATGGAATTCAGTCAAAAAATAGCTCCAAAGATAGAGAGCATGGGATTTGATATGATGGAAGTATCTTGGAAGTCACCCAAGAGGCTTTATTAATAAATGGTAGAGAAATTTTTCATTTTAGATACAAGCCCAAAAAGACAGCAGTCAAGCAAGCATTATGATTAATCTGGATAAATGTTGAATGTTATAAATGTTGAGAGAAAGGTTTGCTTCTTAAAAAATAAAAGTAAAAAAAAAGTTTTGTTTTTCCCTCTTTTTAGCTTAACTTGAAAAAGAAAATTGAGTCAGGGATACCTAATAGAATGACCTTCTATTCTGGATGGTGTACTTTTCTTGTAGAGCATTCATTTCAAAAATCAATCAATCAGACAAAAGTATTGCACAATCTAGGCTGCTTAACTTACTAACTGCAAATAAATACTTATTTCTACCTCCCCAAGTAACGAGAACAGGAACTTCTCTGGAATGCTACATGAGGACTGAAAGCTGTCTGTGAGTTACAGGTAAGGGAAGCTCAGGCAGAGGCTGGCTGTCTCCATTGGAGAGCTGGGGCTGCTTGCTGTCCAAAGTGTACTTGGAGGGCTTTCCCTTTGCAAACTGTAGCCATCAGAATATGCTGTTTTTTCGGTGCTGCGGACACACTTTTTCCTGCATTTTATCTAACTGGAAGCCTTAAGAATCTGAGAAATGATAACTCCTGTATGAACACGACCATATTGCAGACGCTGTTTACTTTGCTGCTGTCTTTTTCACCTTCATGAGTCTCTTTGAGAACACAGGTCAGAAGGCACTCACTGTACATACTGAAAATCCCTGAGTGCTGCTTAAAACAATCTGACTGAGACACAAGCTATTATACAGGATGAGGTGGCTTGGAGGATGGATAATAAGGCTGTACAAAGCTCTTTAACTTCCAACCAGAGTTAAACCTAGCTCTTAGAAAGAAAGCTGGCCTGTCAGTTTGATTGCTATTTAGTTCCTGTGGCATTCAGCACATCACAGACCAAATTTTCATTTTATTTTTGGCATTTAACTTCTAAGTCAAATTTTAATAAACCTAAATCTATACAAGTAGAAAATCATGTGGTTTGAAAGTCATTTCAAAGTCCATTTATAAATACATCAACTAGACTATGTGAAGAAGAGGGCAATGCTTCAATGGCAACTTTCTTTTTCTAGCTTGACTGAAACCATGGCAGAGGTCAGCAAAGGAGAACATGAGTGATCCCTAGAGAGGCGCAAAGTGGACTCTGGGTTTCAGCTCTACTTTTGTTGAATATATGTACCAACCACTTCTATATGGTGGGCCTGGGTTTTTCCTTTATCCCTGGGAAGTGTACCTTAAAGAGTCCCTTTAAGCATATGTCTCTGTGTAGCTTTTTCAAGGCTCCTAGCCTGGTGTGGTGATGCATGCCTGTAGTCCTAGCTACTCAGGAGGCTGAGGCAGGAGTTTGAGGCTGCAGTGAGCTATGGTCCTGCCACTACACTATACCTGCCACTACACTATACACAAGCTGTCTCTTTAAAAAAATACTCTCTCTTTCTCACTCTCTCTCTCTCTCTCACACACACACACACACACACACACACTCTCTCTCTACAGGCCCCTTCTGCTGACCTGATACCATCTGCCTTCTGAAATTGCATTCCTATAATGAATGCTTGCTTTCCTTGAGCACAGTGAGT